TATTATATATTATAATAAGGAAGTTAATATGCATGGATTTATTTGGAAAAACAAATGTTAATTTATTCGAAGAAAAAAAAATTCGAATTTTGCAAATGAAAATAAGTTTTCAATGTCGCATTTTGGTTTCCTTTTTTGGGTGTTTAGAAAAATTTTGAACGGTTTGGTGGCATGGAAATTTGCATGGAATGGTGATTTGGTTGTTGTTTGGGCTTTTCTCTCGGCAGGTGAAGCGCAAGTGCTTATCCAGACCTCTGGGCAATTGTTGCGGGTAATAAAGCGATTTGACCTCCAGTCCCAGAACCGTACCGGAATGTTTTTACCACAGTGGTCTAAATATAGGGCAAACAATATCCCCGGGATGTTTACGATTCCTGAAGTGTACCTGAGGTGCCACTATGAAATTGTGGAACGAAAAATTAGGCGTTTTGAGTTAATTTGCCACAATATTCCCACGGAGTAATCACCTGGACTAAAAACTTATCATTAGATATTCAAAGAGTAAAGTCACGTTCACTTGAAAAATATTTCTGGTCAACGCATACTAAATCCCGAGTTACGTGATATTTTTCTCGAGAAACAAGAGGCAACTCCCCAAGAAAGGTAGAAATCCATTTTCCCCGGAAATGTGAAAAAAACTTTCACCAATACCAAATACAAATCCCCCGACTTTCTCTTCTGCATTTTTTCAGCCGGCGTAAAATAACAGAATTCACCCTCTTTTAAAAAAACTACCTCAGGGAGATGTGACTCGGCGAGAAAGTCAAAAGCCAGACGGCGTTACCCCCCGAAGAAGAGGTTGTAAAAAAAAGAAAGTCCCTCGGGGCCCGCGGAAAAAATCTACCTAAAGCCATAAAAAAGCCGAAGTCGCATCCCTTTGTCACACTCTCTTTTTTTTTCATCGAAAAAGATGGCTGGGAGTCAATAAAACCCCGTCGTCTAATTGGGGTCTTGCTATACCTGTCCGATGGTGACAATATTTTCCAACCGGCAAAAAGCATTGGAAAATTCAGGAGCAATATAATAGCCGACCTAAAAAGCCCTAGAAACTTTTCATATCCAGTCGCCACTCGCCTCTCCATGTTTTTCATTTTACCCTTGTGCTGTTTTACTCATACACCGCGAATTCTCTCTTATAGCGCGGCTACCGCAGAGAGCAAAACGGAGGATGCGACAATATCCGGCGCCCCGGCGTCCGACAACTGATAACGCCGGTGGGGATGTTTATGCGTCCGTTCATAACGTGCACCGTTTCACCCTGTACAACCCCCTCCTGTACCTGGCACCCCATACCCCTACGATGAGAAGACCGCAGGCACAGAGCAACCCTTTCGAATTCACTGGGAGAAACAGTTGGGGAGGACAACACTGGTTCATGATAAAAAAAAACACTGCGCTACGGGGATGAAAAAGTGCCGACAATATTTTCAGGCAACAAATCGTTTTGCGATTACAAAAAATTTCACTGTATTTTTTTAGATATTTTTTTTCTCTGTTCATGGAATTATTTCGCGTTCCGCGCGGCATTCAAATTTCCCGCGTCGAGTGTGGATATATGATTTTTTTAAATGAAGATGAGAATTTAATTCATCTAATTATTCAATTTCGCGTGGAATTCTGATTTTTTTTTTAAAGGAATTTCGAGGGGAGAAAATTGAAAAAATTTTTGAAATCCCGCGTTTGCATTGTTAATGTTAAATAAGATTGTGGAGACGATTGAAAATGTCTGGTTGAATAATATTTCCTCGATTAATCTCGAAATCGCGCATCCTCGAGATTCCACTCGACGTCTCTATCGCTGAGATTTTAAAAACCCCCCATTGTTCTTTCTGGTGCTTCCTCTCATCTACCATTCCACCTCACCATCTCTTCGCATCTGTATGTAAATGCGAGACTAGAGAATTTTCTCTTCCGGGCAGTCGTAATTTAGGTACGAAAAGAAACGAGGGAGAGCGATGGGGTAGAGGTGGTTTACCTCCCTCACCCTTGGAGCAGGATGAGAGAGAAGAAAGGCAATATATACTAGAACTCCCTTTCTGGATCGAAAGTCTATTTACGAAACTCCCTACATAACTCACGGCAGTTTCTCCCGGTCTGCGTAATTCAACTCTCAATCAAACGAGCCAAACATTACGCGTTTTTTTTTCGACCTCTAGATCGCAATACATTTTTTATTTCAGCACATATTAATTTCAGAGGCGACATTATCGATATTGTCAGGCCAACATTAACCGGCGACCCAACATTAACCGGTCCTCCCAACATTTTCAGTCTTCGGTGAAATATTAAAAGCAAAAAGCGAAAACCGGTAAATTTCTCCCTTGGGTAATTTACGCAACCAACATTACGCGTTTTTTTATTAATTAACCGGCGATATATCATCGGTAAGATTAATTACCGAGGCGACATTAAATTCATCAAGGAATACCGGACGACATTGAAGGCTGGAGCAACATTGAATATCAACCCGACATTAACCGGTCCTCCCACAATGAAAATCTAGGTGAAATAATTATCAAATATTCCTGACAATGTCACCTCCTTGACACCCCTAAATGACATAAATTATTTCGTCCTGTCGGCCACGCCCTGGTACATTATTGTACTCCAGCAACATTCTCCGGTGTACGTGCGTACCCATGCACTCGGGCGTCTTACCAGGGCGAACCGATGATATATCACAAGATAGATGTATTTACGAGTTGAAAAAGATCTCGGGAGAGAAAGAGAAGATGAAAAAAAAAATGAGAGAGAGGGAACAGAAGAATGGAGAAAGACCGGGTGGCTGGAGGAGATAGCGAGATACCGAATACAGTGGATGTGGTGGGGGTGTGGGGATTTCGGTGAAAGCGGAAAGGGGAGGACAGGGGAGGACAGGGGAGGACAGGGGCGCGAAGGGGTCGAGGGGGGCGGTAAAAAGGGGGAGAGAGAGAAGGAGTCATGGGAGAGGGATGAGGGTGGGTGGGCTGCGTTCGTTTTCTACGTCCCCGCAGACGTCCAAACCGACTTGATGTACGACTCCCTTGCGCATTGCCGTGCGGCATAACTTTTATCTTATACCAGCTCAGCATGATCTTCGCGGGGTCCAAACGCGAGAGATCCCAAGCGATATTACCACCTACGCGTTTTGTAGTGGTGGAAAATGGACGGTTTTCCCTTTTACTGGTGTTATTTTATACGGTGAGAGGGAGTTGGAACGGTTAACGCAGCCATTTCACGCCTTGAGAGGCATTTTCAAATACGCTTTCACATCTCATCCAAATTCTAAGTAAATCCTGGTGAATTTATAGGGGGCCCTACGGTTTTTATTTACCTCGGTAATATGGGGATGATTATGGGAGAAATGTGTCAAGCCGGTGGGAAGTACCGGGTGAAAGTTGCTATTTTTGAGGCTCACCGTATGGGGCGGGAATAAATATTGTTATGGATTTTACAGATGAGGGAAGATCGACCCTATGGTCCAGGGGTATTTTCGGGTTTTTACGATTTTACGGGGGCTTCAAGAGACTTTGAGTTTTGTTTTCGCTTGGATGAAAGGGCGCGGTAAATCACAGAGAGTAATCGTTATTGTCGCGTTAATTATTTTTTATCTCCGCTCCGATAAGGTAACGAGATAAATCGGCAATTACAAGATTGATTATCGATTTCTGGTTAGTTAAACACGGAGTAATTGATACCGACAGAATATTTCCTCGTCAACGAATTATCGGTAACTAACAATTTTTTTTTGTCCGGTATTATAATCTTTATTCATTGCGAGTATGTAAATTTCAAGGTTCCGGTGGTTGAATATTCAAAGCACTGATAAACTTTTCCTCGGGAATTCTCGAATTCCGGTGAAAAATTACTTGAGAAAAAAAAAAATAGTTCAACGATCGAATGAAAATAATTGGCCCATAAATCGAAGATTGAATACCGCTCGTAAATTTCAACACCAATTAAAAGAAAAAAAAAATTATAAATCCTTCACACGATTTAAAACCTTCGGTCTCAGTAACTCTTCAAACAATACCAACATTATTCTCGAATTACGAACAGAATGTTCTCAATTTCATAAAAAAAAATAAACGACAAAACCCCAAAGGATTCCGAATAAAATAATTGTCCGATTTTTCTATCATCGGTATATTGCCCTCGTAAATAACTTCGGACTTGTGTATTTCCCCCAAAAAAATGTTCATCCCCATGAACTGGAGGGTACCTAGAAGCCAGCAAAATAAAACTCCCCCCCCAAAAAAAAAAAAAATAAATAAAATAGGAATGGAGAGTAACGATCAGAGGTTGTGAAATTATACGGTGAGCATTTCTCGATTGCCAATACACATCGGAGCGAGTGGTTATATTTGCCATACGTCGCGCCCTTTCCACCCCTCCGAAAGGGTGAGAAAGGGGGCGGCAACCGCAGCACTGTCCTCTCCGAGGGGGTGGCAACCCCTCCCCCCAGCCATCGACAAACCAATATTTATTGATCATCCCCGAATCGTGCCGGGTATATTTCAGAGTCTCCAAGTGCGTAGACCCTTCGTGAAAAATAATTCCGAAAAGATGCGAGAGAAAAAAAATTGCCCCGACTCGGCCACACAGATGTTCCCTCTCCAAATCCCACAACGAGATAGGAATACGAATGTACATCCCTATTTTTTCCACTGGATTTTTCCTGAGAAAATGTTCCCCTCCCTCCTCTCCCACCAATGAGCAATAAATCGTAATAAAATCGATGAAAATGAAAATGGAAGACGATATCCTATTGAAAACTCTCACAATCTCCTATTCAACGACTCAATTAAACTTATTGAATTATTTACAAAGTTACTGATACCCTGATATCTCGGTAATTACACCTCGACATGTTTACAAGTCGCAGCAATGAGTAGGAAAAAAAAAATCAATTAATTGAGAATTGTAAGCGGCGCAAAAGCAGGAGAATAAATGGGAAAAAAAAGAGAAAAAAATAAATGGTAATACGGAGGGAAAAAAATGAAGCAAAAAGCGAAACTCACCTTGCAACCATGTCCAATGCGGCTTAGCGATATCGTCCTTACCTGAAGCAAATAAAAGAAAGAAAAAAATAAAGTTAATGCAGCCAATAAATTGGGTAAAATATAATAAAGTATATTTCTATTGCGTTTATGCAAGAAAAGAAGGAGAGAAGATCCTGCTTGAAAACCACAAATAATTATAGTTTATCCTGTCGCAAGAAGTGAATTACGCTGGAAGCCTCAGAATTCCGTGGTCGTTTGTGATAGCAAAAGAAATTCCCCAGTTGCACGAGCTCCACCAAAAAAAAAAAACAGCTGGTGGAAAGGGTTAAACGGATAGTTGAATTCTGGATAAATCAATTCTACAGTGGCTTAACGACGACAATCATTTATCCATTGAAAAAATATGATCAATTGATAATTTTTCAAACCCGAAGACAATTTCAGCGCCAAAAAAAATCCATTCGAATTGACCCTCACTGGAGATGAATTTGGCCGTCAGGTCTTCTGCACGATAATTTATCCCCAAGTTTTTCCTTCATGTATTCATAATTGCATGGCGCTGAAGCGGTTATAGGGAACCCCCCAGCCGTATTCTAGTTTTCCTCCGGGTATACCACAGCAGTGAGAGGCAAATAGAGGAGCAACCAGAGGGTAGATGTGCTCTATGGTAGTGTTATAACTAGAGGTCGTCCGCCGCATTGTGCATCGCGATAGCGGCATCGTTGCTCTAGGGGATGAGAATTCAAGTTGGGGGTACATGCGCGCATCCCTCGGCCGCGGGCCGCCAAATGATCCAGAACACCGGTGGGAATTGAGTAGCTGCACTGGTGATGTTGGTGGTGGTAGCACTGGCCGATCCTCTGTATTACCGGGTCAACGTGCGAGTAAGAAAGAGACAGGGAAAGCCCACCGCGTCCTCGTAACTAACCCGAGTGATCTACGACCTGTTTAGTAGTTCTACATCAACGTTAGCCCTCCTCTACCAGACCAAACGGCTGGTGCAAATACACGAGGTCGAATCAACCCCTTCCACACACCTATCCTACTCCAATTTGTATCATAATTACATTATGGGATCAAGTTCCTTCATGGAATTCAGTTCTGGTGTCTCGTAGGTACCTAGACTCCAGAAGAATCGAATCATCACTCAGGAATCAGAATCACCTACTCTGAGGTTATTCGTATTAAATTTCTTGACGTCATGACGTGATGATGAAATGCTTCTCTCAACACCTAGATCTCATAACCGATCCAATCACTTGCATCCGCCTCAACTCCTGAAATCTGGAGATCGATGGCTTGACTGGTTATTAGATTATTGGCTGTATCGACAGCTCATGCATTGCACCAGGAATATATACGGGCTCGACGTACCCTCGATATTGGTGGGATACGATGGCCAACTCCAGCAATAACCAGAGATGCCTCTGTGTGAGAAGCATCTCGCCGATAGTTGGAATTCGCGTGTACGCGTTGAGTGTACAAATAGGCGAACACCCGGTGGGGGGGGGGGATGAAGGGGGGGTTGGATGAGAGACGTGGGAAGAGGGAGGAAGGACAAAATGGGTAGAGCGTGATAACGATAACGTACGATCGGCATTAGCTGGTGGCTTGCTTGGTCTGATGGATGCGCTAATTATCACCAAACAGGAGTTACAATGTTTCGCGTTTGGTACGAATCACTGGCGCCAGACTCGTGGTTTTGGTCTATTGAAAGAAAGAGTCACAATGATATCGAATAATGTAGAAATAATGCTGTTATCACCTGACTGACAGCGATTAATCAATCCGTGCCCGACGAAAGCAATAACTCATCACCATTTTTCTTGATATTTGATGTAGAACAGTGGAATCGTTAGGGAGGAAGTTGTACGTGTTTCCAATTTATACTTGTATATTTCTAAATTTTGCCGATACGTTATCACCACCGCCTAACCAATATGTCGGACTGTAGTTCGCGGTCTAAGCAATAGCTGCATCCTCTCGCGATGTATGTATCACCCAGAGTTGTCAGAGGGTACGTGCGTTTTTCGATTTGTGAGGAGAGGAAATAAAAAACGAGAGAAAAGAGAGAAGAGGGCATTATTGCACAGGAGTGAGAGGTCTTTGTAATAAATACCATCGCTTGTTTATTTAATGGGCAAATTCGGTGGCGCCATAAAGATTCAAGGAGACCCAGACTTGTGGAGCGACCAAGTTAGGGGGGAAGTGAAAACCTATTAAATTTATGTTTTTGGTTTACCCGGACTGACGGATCGCACGCGCCTCCCTCACTTTGCCATTGAACGTTGATTATACCCCTGTCTGTGTGGATTTTCATGTTTATTCGGTATTGGTAGTTCTGTGTAATCCAAACGGAGATATTCATTGCCCCGGTGGTGAGTGGGGTGAGAGATCGAGCTTACTCGTGGTGATGGTGGTGGTGGATCTAAATGAGGGTGGAGGATGACGGTGGTCCTGGCGCCTGTTCCTGTGACGGACAGCGCAACGTCAGCGCGTAAACCGTGACGTTTCTCAGCGCTCTGCTACCCCCTCTGACGATCTATAACAACGTAAATGCAAGCCATCGTTGTCTCTCTCACACCCCATTCTCAATTCTCCCTCATAATAACCCCTGGAACAATCCCCTAATGCGATCCGATAAATTCCTTCGTTAGACCACCCAGTGTTTCACATGAACTACCCGAATACACCCCCTAAAATGGACTTACCGCGTCAACCGTCAAAAAGTTTTAACATCAATTTTTTTTTTCTCTCTTCTCACGTGATTTTTTTGGGGGGAAAAATTGCCGAGTCAAATATGGTAAGATATTTTACGGTAAATAATACCTCTGGAGTTGTTTGCAATGGACTTTATCCGTGACGTTGAAATAGAGGTGATGGGAGACAACGTGGGGTGCGAGAAAGCAAACTTTCATGAAGACGATGCGTTATCTCTTTTTCGTGCAAACGGCGAACAATTCCACCCGGGGGTAAGAAGAGTGGGGTAAAAGTTTCGCCGACTTTTATACAGCTCATTCCACGGAGTGTATGAAGACCTTTATAGCTAGATTAATGGGAGGAGGGATGATAAATCATCGACGCTGGGGTGGAGGCGAATTGAGGTATTATTTCTTTATTAATGAGTTGTGGTTCTTCAGTCCTACGGCTAATTCAAAACTCTCTAATTGCCAAATTTTCTTCACCCTTCATTTAACGCAATAATTGCTCTCGCACAGGCCATTGGTAGGGGCTGGGCCCTCCGCAACGCCCCACACTCTCAACCCATCACCCGTTTTTATCCTCTCTCTCTAAAATCCCCATCTTATGGGGTGTGTTACAGCCCCTTGAGCCTATCCGCGCCACCCTCTGTATCTTTTATCACAAAATTTCACGACGAAAGACTTTAAATTCCTGGGAATCCCGTGTTTAATCGACTTTCCTCCACCTCCATCACCAGTCGATATACCCCAGACCCTGCCATAAATCCCTCGGTAATTGCACTTGAACAAAAATTAGGCTCTCAAATAATCTTTTTATCCGGCGAAAACCGCATGAATTTGTAAAATGCCATTTGCAAATTTTTCCGACGGGCCCCGTAAATTCACACATTTAGGACTTTATTTACGTTGAATTTATTTCTGAATTACGCCGACTGCACGTGCAATGGTACAAGGCCTAACTTCACTCTTGTGTATTTTTCGTGGAGTCACGTACATTCAGTCGCTTCGGGTGTTTACGTAACATGACGTGCAAAACTGTGAAACTCAAAATTCAGGATTATGTCATTGCTGGGGAGATCGAGGGGTGAAAATAATAAGTGGAAGGCTAAAACTGTCGGTATTACGTAGTTGAAATCGATACACAGGTCGCAATCTCAATCTAAAAATATTCCGTGCTATGAGAGTTCGTGGACGCCAAAATTTGCATGAAATAATAAATACTTGCCAATTAATTAAAAAATCTTAAATTGACCTATTGAAATATTCACAGAGACAACACAGAGGAGAGAAATGAGAAAAGAGATACTTCTCAACATTTGGAATTGATAAATGTAGAGAAAGGATAGAGTGGATGAAAAAAACACACAATGGTCTTTGCAAAAATAGCAAGAAACTCCCTGAATACCTCTTTCTTTCAGTCCTGTCTCGCCATTTTTACGTAACGTAAAGTAAACGGAGTTTCATGCACTGAAACATCTAGAATGGGAATAATACACTTTCCTCTTCGACTTGGCCTTTCTTCTCCGGTACATATAACACCGAATCCACCATATTCCGAGAGAAGTGAACTCTCCATAACTATGCGACGTATATTACCGACAAGTCGACTCTATGTGCTCAAGGCACATTCAATATATTGTCCATTGTAGGTACACATATGAAGTTGTGGGTTATACGTGCTGTACATAGACTGGTGGACGACGCGGCAATCGCGTGCCAAAATTATATCGACCCCCGAATATACCCGATGACGTACGACGTCTGGTTCTCCATCGAGCGGTACAGGTTACCATGAAAAAGGGGAATTCATTTTTCAATCACTTCCGTCAAGATTAATTCTGATACCCTTGTCCCTTCGTCATCACCAGGAACTTCTAGATTTTCCACTACAACTGTTTCTGCTCCGACATTTGTCTCACCCCAAGAAGGGTTTATAAAAGTCAAGAGCGTCTAGAATATTTACGCATCATCATAAAGTGTGAGATGGCTTTACCCAGGACGTCTTCTCTCATTGGGGAATCTCCCTTCTTGGTGATCCTGCTACTTCTGCGGCTCGTACTGGAAGACCCTTTATTGCTCCCGGAAGGATTTCGAGGATTCAAAAGGGAGCGTTGTAATTATTCCTCACGGAAAATAATCGAAATACCTAGGATGCTACCATCCAGAGTCGCCTACATCAGGCATTTCATCAGCGATACTTCTGATGAATTGTCCAAACATTCAAATAGTACTTTAATTCACGTAATTGTATGAATTATTGATAATGCAATGGCTGTAGATGCACACTGAGTGCGCATAATTACAGTGTAATTACAACGCATTTAATATTTATGCGTGGACGATCGTTAAAGTCAAAAG